ACCAGTACAGGCCCGAGGCCTCACCCCATCAACAACATGTTATAAATGTAGTCTTTATAGCCGGGATTATGCAATAAAGATGAATAAATTCTATATCGGTTCTGCCCTTGTGATAGATTATCATTAGCATTGAAGCTTTAGATACGACAATGGAGCGTTAACATTTCTGCTCTACATTTTATGATTCTTTGTTCCTGTGCAGTTAAAGCTTGTCAATGGATTTTAAAGCTGAAAGTGCAACATTTCATATAACATGCCATGTAAATATTGATATGAAAATCAATTCTAGTAAATTAAAATCACAATTGTAACTTCTCCGTATGGACGTTCTCTCCAGTAACATTTATAATAAATCTTAAAATGATGTTAAAAGTAGACTAGTACTCAGGTAATAGCAGTACATTTGGGTAATACTTCAAATGGGACGTGGTTAGCATTTGTCAGCAGGTTGAGAAGCACTCATCCATTGGATAAAACAAAAAAACAAAAAACAAAGCTAAGATATGCAGCACACAGCAACTAATGGCCTGCTAGCATTTAGCATGTAAGCGGTGTTTCAGTGATTCACTACCACATAGCAAGTTAGAGGTGTGTTAGCTGATACCTGATGTATTAGCAGTGTGTCAGCACGTACAGTGTAAACAGCACACTAGTGTTTAGCATTCTATTTTGAGAGTCGGCCTTCACTAAGGCTGAGCCCAGCCAAACTGTGAGATGATTTAAGGACAGCTTCAGGCCCGAGTTTACACTGGTAAATATTTCTTCTAGAGAGTGACACGTCCCTTGCAAAAAACATCAAGAAGAGGTGAATCCTTTTCAATATGACTGAGGTAATAATTCAATGAGATGTTTGTATCTACGTGCAACAGCCTTTTTGATATAAAACCTGGGCCATTCCTTAGACCGACGTTCATTTGTTCTTTAGGGAAACTGTCTTTCCAAAAAAATAACATTATTAAAAATGTGTGTTTTATTCAACACCCAGTTTGGGTATGCTGGGTTTCTCTCTGCTTCGTTGTAAGTCTGCACAAACGCCGTCAGAATCACGACTGCTCTGCATTTTTGTGTGTGTGTGTGTGTGTTTGTGACCTGGTATGAACCCCAGAACATCGGGCTGCCAGAGTCAGCCGGCTATCAGAGATGCCAGCATCAAGGCTTCTTGGAGACTGGCTCTCAGCGCTGTGTGACGCCTCTTTCCATTCACCTCTGCTACTCTTTTACTTCGTTTCTGTTTCCTTCCGCTGTTGTTTTGTTCTTTTGCCTGTCTCTGCTCGTTGCCCTGTTTCTCCTCTCAGACTTTCTAGGTTCTTTAGACGCATGCTCACCATCCTCCCTCATAAACCCCTTCTCATTCTCACTCTCGTTCTTCGTTTCCACATGCACACTGCAGACCTTGGTTCATTTCAGGTCACTATCCCTTGAATCTAGCCAGAGCGTAAGCTGCTGCTTCGATGCAGCTGTCCCTTTAGTGTTACTGATAAACAAACGTCGACTTTGAAAATGTTTGGGTTAGATAAAACCGCCACTGATTGCATGTTTCTTTCCTTTGACAACTAAACAAATCTTTTGTTAAAACATCTACTTGTTAGATGTGGACTTTGCACATTTTATGCCTTGCATTAATGTGGAGTGATGTTTCTGACCTGTGTGAACATAATCAGGAGCAGCGAAATCAGTTTTAAGACTGACTTTTCTACCTGTTTACTGCACTGTATAAGTTAATGGTCAAAGAGTGCTTTTCACCCTAAGTTTACCCTAGGCTATCACTGTTTGAGAGTTTCAAGTTTGTGTGACATTTGAAAAAAAACAACAAAACCCTGTAGCGGACATTTTCCTGCACAAAACTGGCCCACGGCCAATGTTCCACATACAGAAATACATTTTTGTCTACATTATGAGCGGAGGTACTGTGCTGTTCTTATCTGTTCTTTCTCGGACACCCTGGAAACACGAAAAGGTCACTGGGGACGTCGGGGATAGAGGGAAGGGTCACACCGCTGTTACAGATGTTTTCTTTCTGACCTCTACAATTAAGGAAGCTGTGGAGAAAATGAAGAATTTCTGGTCAATTTATGTGTCATCACTACTGCTCATTATGGCTGAGCTCGACCTCATCGGATGTACCGCTGCCCAGAAAACCAAAAATAGTTCCCATGTTAATTTTTTGGCTGAGCTGATTTCCAAACCAAGCTAAGCAATGAAGTTATTAAGGCTGGGAAATGTTTAAGTTTGAATTAAAAAAAACAACAACCCTATTTTTAGGTGCAGTTCTAGAAAATGAATTAAATCCAGGAAAGCCAGTTTAACAGGAATGAAACTCCAGGTGACAGGATTCTGAACCTGAGTTTGCATGAATTTGTGTCTAACCTAAAGTTGTTCACACAGATGAAATATGGAAAGGAAAACAGGAAAACCTGTGGTGATTAACAAACAATTCTAAGTCAGTTAGTCTAAGTTTTAAATACTGAGAAACTTAACACCTACAACTTTCTACCAGTGGTGAAGAATCATTACAAGACAGCATTTTGTTAAGTTATATGTGATGACTTACAATTTTGGGAGTTCTCTCTCTGGCTAAACAAACATGTTGAAAGAAACTGAACACTTGATGACGTACAATATAACCACAGTAGCAAATAGCATGACATACACAATCACACATCACCAAAACTGAGCTGTAGAGATAAACATGTATAAATACATTTCATAATATTTAGTGGCAGAGGGTCCATAGTGTGTGTTGTGTTTTACTGTACTCGTTGTCTGGATGAGGGCTGACGTGTTTATGTTAAAGCTGTCCATCACTCTGTACACGGTGTTTGTTCATCACTCTGTGTGTACAGAGGGATGAACATGACATCTATAAATCTGTCATGATTGTGTTTTCCCAGTGATGTCAGGCATCTGCTTTCACTGGCCTCTTGTTGCCTGTGCTTTTTTTCATTTACTTATTTTACCAAAACCATTGATGTTAATATATATCCAAAATAATCATTTCAGTACATTTGTACAGCGTTTAATCACAGGTATGCAAGTACAATAGCGCCCTCACTCTTTCACTTCCACCATCACCACGATCTACTATAAAAAAAATAGCAGGATAAATGTTTTATTTCCCCTGATCACATCACTAAGATCTATTTCAAGGAGCTAATTATGATGGTCTTTCTTTCTATATCATTGAACAGAAAAATATTTTTTGTTTTGTGCTGGCTTTTTTAAAATTATTATTATTATTTGTAAACTAGTTGTTTCAACGCATTTGACACCAGTTGTACCTCTGATATATTGCTTTTCACGTGATCATCACCTCTTCTTTACATATTTGCTGTTACAATTCATTTCCATCTTCCATTTCCCCCGACCGATGCCATTTAAGGTTGCAGGCCCAGGCCGCTGGAGCTGCAGATTTACCCAGCAGCACACGTCACCAACCGAGGAGAGCTGAGCTCCCAAAATAGCCCAAACAGCAATTGGTGAATGGGGCCCCAAGTGGTAGTTACCAAGGACTGATTCTGACATGTGATTGCTTGTCATTTGATTAATCACACATGCAAACTCTGCTCAACAGTTTATCTGAGGATTCAGTGACTGGTAGTGTAGTTAGACTCTCATTTTCCTGCTCAAAAATTACAATTTTATGCTTCCATAGTAAAGTTATGTCACATAATTGTATTAAAATAACATTCAGTGAATTTCTGGCACTGATTATAATCTGTTGAATTAATGAAATTCTCTAAAAATATGTAATAATAATAATAATAATAATAATAATAATAATAATAATAATAATAATAATAATAATTTCAGGAAACCAATTGTTCGGCAGTCTTCCTGCAACTATTAAATTACTGTATCTATGGACACTTGCATAACTGTAGTTCCATAAGTAGGAGGGGTTGGGGGGTGCAGGGTTTAATTAAAAGAAGCTAACAAAGGCAACATTCAGGGTTTTTATGTTTCACAGTACAGACTGCAATTCCTAGAATTTCAGTATCCCATTGTGGAAATGCTGGTTTGTGAAGGCCAACCACGACTGGGAACTGCAATAAACCTGCAGACTCAACAACCCCTGAAATGCTTCCTTCAGAGCCAAGCCCTCATAGAATGTTGCATATCAACTCAACACTGCATCCATTTTTTTGGTTGGGCCATTCACATGTCTTCAATCTTATTTTAAATAAGCTCTACAGGTTAGCAACAACATGGTGTTTTTTTTCTTTTTTTTCTTTGGAGCTGGTAGAACGAACACAGAAGTGGATGAAGTCTAATCTGACACATATGTTAATCCCCTGAGGGATTATTCTGCTCATTCCCCACAGCAATTAAATCATTTCAGTTGATTTCTTTCTAATGGGCCTTTATCAGATCCATGGTGGGAAAAAACTTGAGCCAATTACACATGTAACAAACTAATGACCAGAAATATTAATTCCACACGTACACCATCTCATGGTGTTCATAACAGTCAGATTACACCGCCAGACCCCGAGAGAAAGACTGAATTACAGCAGGGCTCATGGTGATGATGCCAGTTGGAGCAGTAACGGCGCAGACAGTCAGTTCCAAAAATCTTCCTGGTTTTTCAAGGAACTGCAGGAAACAATGTACCCCAAGGGGGGCATAGAGTATGTGAAAATGTTTCCTCTCCTTTTAATGTTTCAAAAACCACATCCAACTAAATACCAAATCTCTTTTTCTACCCTACATTTAAGCGGCTTTAAAAACCAGATACTGACATTTAGTTCACATCAGTTGTAATGTTCAACCTTCACTAAAATGTTGAAATTCAAAGGAAGATTTCCTTCATTTTACTTAAGTAAAAATATCAGTCTATAAATCTTATGGTTACTTTTTTAAACCGGTGTTGAGGTGGCTCCATGTGTAGTGCAAAAAGGACAAGTGGATATACAGTACATATCTAGGTGTTTTTATCTAAACACAGCAAAATTAAATAATAAATAGAACAAAATAGAACATGTCAACACATGACATTCTGAAAAGTATATCTTTTAGTGTTTTCATACCAAAAATACAGAATTCTTGAGCATAATCCATTGAGAAATTAAGGTAATTAAAGCATGTAGACACTTTTCAGGCGTCTCTTTTAGACAATTCAGAATCATAGCAGATACACTGTGAATTATTTTTTATTACCCCACAATATGTAGTATATAGTTATATTTATTTGCAGGCTGCCTCCTGCTTTTGTTCTTGTTCTTTTGCAAACGGTTTAAACTGTGTGCAGGAACAGATCCACCATACCAAAAAAATACAAATATATGTTGATGTTTTAAAACTTAATACCAAAAATATATGAGGTAACACTAAAAAAAGGAACAAAAACAAACAAATACGTGACAGTGATTACAGTCCTTTCTGTAAAACGTGTTCATGTTGTAGTCCAATTTCTACAGTAATATCCGCAGGACAAGGTTCCATGTAAATATATTAACCATTGTTTATATATTATAATTATTAACTACAGTTAATAATAACTGGTAAAACTGTTTATCTGAATAAACAACTGCAGATGATAATAATAAAAAACAACAACATTTAGTTAATAGTATTGTGCGTGCTTTAGATAACTTAACATTATACATTCAAGTATTTCGAAATAACGCCAGTATAGTCAAGAGATAAAAATGTCCATGGGGCCATCTAGTGGTTGAATACCGACCGAACACCTAGTCCTTGTGAGTTTGCCCTGAGATTTTGAAGTTTCATCAAGTCAAGCTTTCCAACACGATTACATAGTAAAAATACTTAGGTTTTAAAAGGACCAGTGCCGTCTGCTGCAGACCTGAGGACACTGGTGAAAACCTCATAAGTCGATAATACCACCATGTTTGTGGGAAATGCTCGCAGACAGTTGATGCCTAAGCTCCTGAAGAAAACGCCAGCACCCTCCGCCCGCAGTGTGTCAGCAACACAGTGGAAAAAACCTTTGTAACGTTTGGTTTCCTGCACTCCGTCCATCTGCAGCCGAGCTTTGATGACATCCATGGGTGTTCCCACGGTCCAACCTGCCATTCCTGCAGTTCCACCGGCCAGCATGATGACACTCCAGTCTGGATGTGAAGAAAACATGTCAATGAGATTTTAAATACATTTTTAAATAATAATATATGTACATATTTGCCCACAGGATATTTCAAAAAGCATTCCTAAAAATGCACCAAAGTGCTGTCAACATTACTCGCCTGGTCTTTTCTTACCACTTTCTGTAAACCATTCACAGATAGTGGTGTAGGTCAAAAAGTAAGTGGCATATGAAGGTCCGTCCCTTAGCATCAGTGGTAACGCTCCTTTGTAGAGTCCCTGGAAACCCTCTTCTTTTATTATCTGCAGTAGACAGTGAACTGGACCGTGGTACCTGGTTTTGTGCATGTTAGCTCCTTTTCTCCTGGCTTCTGTCTGACACTGTAGTCGCACCTTCACCATATCACCGGGGGCCATGACTGAAGTCTGTCGGGGGCAGAGAAGGGGACTCATATCTCAAAACCTGGGTAAATAAATGTACAGATTTCTGCAAGGTAATGCCCATCAGTGATGCAACGATTCAGATAATAAGCATCAACATAAAAATAAAAACAGCCTCTAACTTACACACAGCATTTTAACAAATATTAATAAAATCATTTAGGTTTGGAGACAAGTGACTACTCAATGGATATAAAAAAAAATAAAACACAGGCCTGATATCCATGCAGACTTGCTGTACACTTCTCAAAGCATTGTAAAAATAATGGAAATGTGACAATTTGAAAAAAGGAAAACACTAATTTGTGTAAATTTTCGAAATAAAATACTCTTTACAATCCATATCTATACAAGCAAACACATACCACCTACCCTCTACTATGTTGAGTTTTAACAGCACCATTACAAAATTTAAATTACTTTACTGCCACCTGCTGGTTAATTTTTTTTAGTTAAGAATTACATTTTCATATGTTCATAAGTTAGCAACACAGAAAAAAATGAAGTTTGTAAGATGCATGAAAAAAGCATGATATGTTCCTCTACCTGAGCTATACCAGCAGCCAAGCCTGAAATGAAGATTTCCAGTTTGGTGTTTGGACCACAGTTCGCTCGTTGTACCTGACTGAGACACAGCAGACAGTTTCTGTATGTCCCAAAAACCACTGAGGACGTCAAGGACATAGTGGTTATAGGTAAGGACATGCCCTTGAAGAAGCCATGAGCCTTGGGACACAAAGAATTTGAAAATAAATAAATAAATTTAAAAAAAATCTAAATATTGCATGATTAATACAAATGCTTGCTCAATTAAAACCTGAATTCAACAATTTGACTTACTCCTTCTTTTAAAAATGTCGAAGTAACACACTGCCATATTCCAGTGTACTGTTTCTGGGTTTGGATGCGGACCTTTAAAGATAATGAAGATGTAAACAACCATCATGTCACCTCTTTACACAACACCTTGTTGACAGAGTAAAATATTACCTTTACGGTGTCTAAAGGGTAGCCCACCACAACGCCACAACACCCTGTGTTTTTAGTCAAAAGGAAGAATAAAAAAAAAAAACAGGTTAGTTAGATTTTTTTAAACAGTTTACTGTTTACAAAAAACAACAAATTATCCCATAGAAGCAGAATTGATTCACATGGTAATCATTTTAAGTGCTATATATTTTATTTAGTAAATGTATCATTCCGACTACAATCTTTGCAGATTCCTATTATTGCTGACTTAGTTCTATCTTTGTCCATACCGTGTTTATGTGTTTGTCTGGACGCAAAGCGAAGCAATGGAACTACAATTCTTAGAGCTCTCCATATAGCCATAGGGTAGCCGTATGAGTAGACGTTAGATATTTTTTAATGTACCATAAGCTCTGAACTAATGTTCACACATGCAAAATCATATAAAGAGTGTCGTCGTTACAACTACCACTAAAGCAGCACATACTGTAAGCTACACACAGTAGCCATGAGCCATTTTAGCAAATGCACACACGGTTGTTAGTATGTGTTTACCTGCAAATGATCCAGACACAAAATCGATGAAATACATCTTGTCAGGATGTGTCAGGCCAGCAACAACTAAACAGATTTGAAGTCATCCTTGTGCGCAGTATGCATATTACACTGATATAACCTTCAGAGTGCTACGTAACGTATCACGCGTTGGCGTCGTAAAGCTCACTCTAAACACGTTTCCGATTTTAAACGAAAATGGCCGAATATGCGACAAAGCATTTTACGGCTTCCCATGGATGTGTATCATAGATGCGCCCCGTCATGATACAACACGGGACAAGTCTCTCTCTCTCACGCGCGGACGCACGCGCGCACTAAATATAACAATAAGGGAAATAAATTATAACACAGAGAATACTTTACTTGCAAAACCGTTGGGAACGGTTGGAAAGCAGTGTTGATGAGATAATTGTCACACATGTCACAAGTTTCATACCGAGCCAATACCTTTTACCTTATCTATTATAGTGAGAGTGAGTTTGACTTGAGTCATTAAAGTGGAAAAATACTGGAAGTGAGTCATGTATGCCTGGAAAAGATAACTTGGTCACATGGCTGGTTAGTCAAGATGTGATGCTGTGATGTCGCATACATGTAAAACTAATTATTTATTTTATTTCACGGGCGACTTCATTGAACTTTTTCAAATGCGTTTTCTTTCAGCCCTGGGTTATTTTTATGGCTTATGAGTCATTTTGATGTACGGTCTGATGTACGGACTGAACTGCTTAACAATAATAATGATTTTTTTTAAAAAACAATACAAAATGCTCATACATGTGAGCACGAGGTTTAGTAGGCCGTCCATTTAAAAGCAAAACATCACACGACAGTTGTGACGTAGATTGACATTGGGAGCCCTTGTCACCAGGCAGCCAATGAATGATGAGTATTATGCGGCGTGTCGCCCGTGGATCCTCCCCTTGATTGGCTGGAAACCTTATCTTACGCCGGGGTGTTGTGAGGCTTTTGGTTTCTACATCATGTGGTTACCATGCTCATGGAAGAGCGCTTTACAAACAACAGCAACGGCAAGACCGTACTGGCCATCTGTCCTCTTGCAATGCATCTCCTCAAGAACGTTTCTGCAAATGTGGAGAAAGTTTTATAATGTAGGATTTGTAGTGACTAGTATTTTTCTCCACACCTGGATACACATGGGCAGATGTATGTATAATTTAGATATCACCAACAGACAATGGAATATATGATTGATATAATATCAAAATCAAACAGTACTGCAATTGCAAGTATAGTACTAGAGAGTCGTTGTTCCTCGTCCGTGGGTTAGGAGAGGCGTTTACAAAATGTGTTTGATTGCAGTTTTTTTTTATCGGTCTTTTTAACAGATCAAAGCCTGAATAACCCGATGTTTCAAAGGAGTGGAGGAAAAAATGCAAGAGAAAATAAAGGAAATACTCTGTACGTAGACAAAGGAACACGACAACATATGGCAAATAGTTTAATGCACTTAAACTTTCACTATGTGATGCTTATGTTTTAAAACTAATGTCTGCAGTCCCATCATGAAACAAGTGCGTCTGGAGCGGTCTCGTGAGCGCGCACGCTCGTCAGTCCATGTGTGCAACCAGGAGATGCACAACACCAGCAATAAATCCGCCCCCTTCTTAGCGTTGTTGCTCCAATGGGCGTTGACAGTGTGCGACACAGCGGTCCGCATATATGCATGGAGGTCATGTCAGTGGAGTTTTTGCATGAACAGAAAGCATATCAGACGAGCAATCTCTAGAAATAAAATCAGCGTAGAGTGCGTGTTGAGCTAGTGTTAGTAAACAAAGAAGCATAACACACGTAGGAGCTAGGTCGAGATATATTAATACTGACAGGTGTACAACGGTTTAGAGCGTTGTATTTTAATAATATTTAACCGTTCCTCAGCTAGGTGACGCCGGAGAGAGGTGATGGACTTCGTCGCAGGATGCATCGGAGGTAAGTTGGAGGCGAAGAAGCCTCGTTTTCTTTGAAGTCGCACATTCCCATCCGTCTGTCTAGGTTTGCAGTGGTTCTTATTAATGCTCCTGAACCAATCGTACTGGTGTGATGCAACTTTGCGTGAAGATTACGAGTGCATTTTCGAAATTCCACCAGAGGACGGAACACTTTAGGCAAAAAGTGATTTCTCTTAATTGCATGTGACCTGGTGTCATAGGGTTTGTCAGTGGACTGTTAATGTTGTAGCCACAGATACGGATTGCTCAAGTCGTCGTTTTTCTGCTCATGCAACTGCAGTTTCCTCCCTGAATTCCTTTAAAATGTACTAACTGTCAATATAAATTAGCAACGATATAGTTTGTATCATGTTATTGTCCAATATCACCCACCTAACTATACTTGTCCAATCATATGTAAACCCCTTTTTGTTTACTGTGTTTTTTTTACAGTCAGCAAATGTAAACATATCGACCCTCTAATGCTGAGCCTTTTAGACCATTTCTCGATTTGAATTTGAATAAAAACAACGATTCACACTTAATCTAAACATTAAAACAAGATGCGGAATATACTTCAATGGAGGTAAACCCCTAAGAGGATTAATTACAATGGTTGTTCTGCTCATCTTTATTTTAGCTCGCCGTCACTTCTTCATCTTGTTGACAATGCAGTGCATGCGAACCTTGCAAAGTGCAACTTGAGCTGTCCATCTGGAAACACCGGGGAGTTTGTTTCCACACACGTGCGCGCGCACACACATACAGACGCACATTGTCACAAGACCGAGTTACCCAGCACACACCCCTTCACAGGCCAATCCCATGCTCACTTTACTACTGTGAATGACACTATAGCTTATTTGGGTTCCAACCCTCTCACTGTTTGGCTAAATAAATCGTGTTGTCTTTTAAAATAAGCTTTAGGTCATTTTAATAACAGACAACTAAGGTAGATGCATTTGATAAAGAGTGTGAGGACCTTTTGGTGGTAAGGTGACGGTATTCTCAAAGCTGTGATGCAATTCCACCTTCCGTTCACTTTTCATGTTACCAGGTCACATGATTAAAATGAGGTCAGTGGCTGCTCAGTGTCTCATGCCTGTCTGTATGTCTGTATTCTAGTCCTGGTTTATTGCTTGGACTGACACAGAGCAGTCATGTAACAAACTGTGTACTTATGTAGGATTAGCTAGCTACAATTTGTTTATCAGTGTTGGAGGCCTCTTGCTGCCTTCTTTTTCTTTGTAAATATTTAAATCCTATTTAATGAATTTGGTTGCCAGGTAGAGCAAATAGACAATTTAACAAGGGCTATAAAAATTAATAAAACTCATTAAGAAAACTTTTTATGAAGAAATTGGTTGTTTCCTTGTATACTGTTTTACACCTTTTTTGCTCAGTGTTAACAGTATTATTTTTCTTCAGGTGCTGCAGGAGTCTTAGTTGGTCACCCATTTGACACAGTTAAGGTAGAGTCACTTTTATTTTTAGGTATTTTATTTTAAATTAACTAAATAGTAGGGTTTGTTTGTAAGGCAAAACATGTAGTTCTTGTTAGCCTGCAGGGGGTAATATAAACACAGTTTAAATGCCCTGGACCATGGGTTGTGTTTACTGCTACAATATTTTATTAAATAATTGCCTAGGCTGTTTCGATTCAACATGTAGTTTTTTAAATAAATGATGTATGTTTCTGACTAATTCAATCAATAGTTCAATTGACTAGTTGTTGTCCTAATTCAAAGTATTCCCTATATTTAAACTAGCATATAAATATATTTCCTTTAGCCTTCTACAGTTCATGTGCAGCTACATGTACTGTTTTTATTGTAGTAAGACATTTTACATAAATAACTTTGTGCTCGATGTTGTCTTGTTTTGCAGGTCAGACTACAGGTACAGAATATCGATAAACCTCTGTACCGCGGGACCTTCCACTGTTTCCAGTCGATTATACGTCAAGAGTCGGTATGCAAAGATTGTTTTTTTTTGCTTATGCTATTGCTGACACTAAATATGTCAGTGTACAAGTAGGAACTTTCTCTTTCTGACCAGTCTCTTCCAGCCCTTGTAGGCCAAAGACAAAGTTGTTGTCATGAGTTAAACGTAGTCTAGAGGCACAGTGACCTGATAGTTGGGATCCATTTGGTCTTGTGACTGTTTGAAGTCGTGAGGCTTAAATAGGACACATCCATGGCCCTGTTTGATATTGGCTCCTCCCACTCGGATCCAATTTTATTCATAAAGCACCTTTAAAAACAAACAATGTGCTGCACACCATAAAGAACAACAGGTTTAAAAATTAAGAACTGTAACAACTAAATGAAATAAAAGCTGAGATTTTTTGATCATTTTCACTTAAATGTTTGTTTATTTTATTAATTGTGGATTCCACGCACATTAAAACACCTGTTTCTTTAAAACATTTGCTCAAATGTTTTAAAGTAAACAAGAAGACATAAACAAAGTATCTGTCTCTAGCTGCTTAAATAAGGACGCTCCTTATTTTGGCAGCTTCTGGTTGTTTTCCCATTTTTACCTGTCAGGTAGATAAATTAGGCTGTAGTTAACATTCATAAACTGCCTTTCTTTGCCGAAAGCAGTTATGCTTTCACAAGTAGGCAGGTTCATCAATGTGAGGTACAAAGGCCCATATGTCTATTATCAACGGTAGTCTGTCAGAGATAAATGAAAACAAGAACTTGGCTTGTTTTGGGAAAACATCATGTAAATATTATCTGTCAAAGAAGAAAACAACATTATCATCATTGTTATTACGTTGTATTCTTGTGAAAGTCCTAAGATTTAGACATGCAGTGTGTGAGGTTCACTGACCTGCCTGCAGTTTAAATTGGCCTTCAGTTCAAATTGGCTGCAGCACTCCCCTTCCTGCCCACTGACCATTTTAAAGGAATTAAGCAGTAGAGGATGAATAATGAAATCAAAACATCTCATGAATTTTTAGCAATGTCTTTTGCTGTCTTTACAGGTTTTTGGTTTATATAAAGGCATTGGTTCTCCCATGATGGGCCTTACTTTCATCAATGCTATAGTGTTTGGTGTTCAGGGAAACACCATGCGTCTGCTGGGGCATGACACTCCCATGAATCAGTTCTTTGCCGGTGCTGCAGCAGGTGCAATTCAGTGTGTCATCTGCTGCCCAATGGAACTGGCCAAAACCCGCATGCAAATGCAGGGTACGGGAGAAAAGAAATCTTCAAGGAAATTATACAAGAACTCCCTGGACTGCTTGGCTCGCATTTACAAGAGGGAGGGTGTGTGGGGTGTAAACAGAGGCATGGTGACTACACTGATCCGTGAAACACCTGGTTTTGGAGTCTACTTCCTCTCCTACGACGTGCTGACGCGCAGCCTCGGCTGTGAGCCCAACGATCGCTACATGATCCCCAAACTGCTGTTCGCCGGCGGCATGGCTGGCATTGCCTCCTGGCTCTCTACCTACCCTGTAGATGTGATTAAGTCACGGCTTCAGGCCGATGGAGTGGGTGGAGTCAACCAGTACAGCAGCATTGCTGACTGTGTGCGGCAGAGTGTGAGGAAAGAAGGCTACATGGTGTTCACGCGCGGCCTCACCTCGACACTGCTGCGAGCCTTTCCTGTGAACGCGGCTACCTTTGCCACTGTTACGCTTGTGCTTATGTACTATCGGGGTGAACAAGGAGGAGCGCAGGACTGTGAGCAAGCACAACCAGCAAAGCCTTCTCACGCCTCACAGATACAACCACAAGCCTAAACCTTCAGCATGTGACAGAACATATATCACACACTCAGCCTGGGCACTTTAGTAAAGCACAAAAAGAAACAACGTCAGAACTGCATGGAGGTCTGACTCTGGTTAGAGCACTCATTCCCTCTTCAGAGGAAACTTGTTTTGACATCCATGTCACTTTAACTTCATTTGCGAACTAAGTATGTAACCACAACGAAGCAGTATCCAACGATGTGAGCATTAATTTAGCTAACATCTTGTTACTGAGCTGAGGTATTAACCTGTTTGTTTTTAAATATAATGGATTAACTGCCTTATACTGACTGCACCTCTAGAGAAGTTGGTGCTCTTCAAAAAATATAAAGACTAAATTTGATAGAAATATATTTTAACAACAGACTTCTCCTTGTCAGGACGACATTTTCAACAGTGGCCAAATGGACCGCAGTCAGGCGAGTCATAATTGGTAGTGTGTCTTCATAAAGACACAAAGGTATTCTAACCCCTAAAATTTTGCCTCAGGCAGCACCAATTTTAAATAGTGACCCTTTTGGGATGGTTCAGCTGCAAAGTCATGCACATTCAGCAGCTGTTTCTGCCTAAGGCTAAGACATGTCTTCCTTAATGTAGACAGGCTGAAAGATGAAGACTGGCTGAAAGTTTTCCTATTGTCTGCCCCAATCACATAGAATGCATATTTATTGCATTGTTGGAGAATAATAACCTCTATGAAGAATGGGGTTTGCAATATATTTTCTTTTTTATACATGGAAGCTAAAGCACTTGGTTGATCCTGAAATCTATCCTATGCAGAACCATGCAAGCACGATGGTTATAGCAGCATGTAATACGGTACAGAGATAACCTGCTTTCATACCAAATAAAATGACCATGTTGCAGCTATAAGCCGACTTCACTGTTGTGTTCATACAGTCCATACAGTATGGTAATGGATGATGGTGGACAGGGATCAGTGGATGGTTGTCTGTCTTCTCCTTTTCTGTATGTGTAGTTTTACTGTTGTAACTATACTGCTGTATTTATTAAATATTCCAGAAGTCAGAAAATGGCTGCATTCTGTACTGTACTTATCCAACTGTTTTGGTGTGTTTTCTTTCCATATCTTTTTTCTATCTTATTTGTTACTATATAGAGGTGATGATTATTTCCTGCATAAAAAGTCCAAATAGCTCTAAATATCAGCAATTGTTTTTATAACACTCATTGTTACGTACTTAAAAGCTGTTAAAAAAGTAAGAACATTTCTAATATATGAGACAAAAATGTTTAAATATTAGCATGTGTCCATGGAACCTAAATTATTTTTCCATAAATGTGAGAGAGAAATGTTTAGTTTTTGCACCAATATTTATTATACTGTATTTAACCATATTGATTGGGGCCTTTGAGAAGACATGTATTTATTTTTTAACTTAATGTAATGGCGAAAAAAGAAATATGAAATAAAGGGAATGATCTATTTTTCTTCACGTCCATAATCACGAGGTTCCGACCCTAACCCTAGAGTGGTTTGCAGAGTCAAAAATGAAGTATGTTGTTATGCCTGTTTTCTGTTCTGAAGGGAGCAGAGTGCAGTGTTGACACTGGAACAGTAAAACAGACAGAGGAAGGAACGTTTTGTAGGTGTGGGTTACAGCCACTGTTACGGTGCTTTTGTTTAGTTAAACTGGAATGTGGCCTGGACAGGAATTTACTAACGTTTCGCAATATGTACAGGACGTAACTGCACTGTAACTCTGTATGAATCTATTGATGCTGACATGTTGACATGATGTAGTAAATATACAGTATATACTTGATAATGCTTCTCAGTCGAATGCAGTGTGGGTTTGAGCTACACAGAAAACAGAACTGATAAACAACCATATTTTTGTAACTACACTGCGTAGCCTGTGTGACTTGCTTTGTCATTGAAGATCTCTGTAAATGAGTCAATTAAATGGTTCTGCAGTAGACTGTGTCTTTCTCCTATAACCTGTGTCGTTAAGACCAAGTCATGACAAAATTTACAATCTACTGAGACCAAAGTCCAAGATACTCAGGATCCAAACTGAGTAAAGGCAACATTGTTTCCCTGTGGAGGTTATTCATAGTTTGTCTGTTAAATTATTCACACACTAAAGCAGGGATCTCAAACTACCTGGCTGGAGGTCACTTCTTAAAATCACATTTTGCTCTTGAGGTGCTTTGCTTAATTTGGTCATTTGAATATGAGTTTGAGAGCCCTGCACTTCACTGTGGAAACTAAGAGCAGCTGAATGCTTAATGAGTGACATTTAATAATTCTGAGTTCAAATTTGTTCATTTCAACCTTCTGGCCTCCTTCTTGTAGCACTAACGTGTTAAAAATTATTGTTTTATGATAATGACTTCATGATTCATGCACACCAAAGTTTTGTGATGGGAAATGTTTAAAATAATTCAAAAATAAAAGCCCTTGGGAACATACATTTGGATATGTCATTATTTGCTATGTTCATACAGTACTTGAGATTAAAGATACTTTATGATACCTTTACAATACAATACAATTAAAACACACAGTAAACAAAATGAGGCATTCATTATGTTTACTGTGTGTTTTAATTGTTGAAACCTCTGTGGAACTATTTCTGTTAGCAATTAGTTTATTCATACTTAATTCTAAAGGTGAAAATATAAGACCTAATCTTAGACGGATAGATAGCCAATAAAATCAGTGCATCCGATTTAAAAACAGTTATCATGAGGTAGTTTTAGGAGATTGGATGAAGCCATTACTCAAAAAACGTTTTGGAGCAGCAGCAGCAGTTGGTAACGTTGGATGTTGTCATGCTGTTGACTAAGGTCACATGTCAGCACACTGGGTGGCCACATTTATGCACGGCGCCATGAGACTTCTGCTGCTGCTACTGTTCTCATTCATCCCAACAGGTTAGATGAAGAATACTAAATAGCGTGTGGTTCTAGTTTTAACATAGTCTCAACTTCTGTCTCACTCTGTTGTAGGAGCAGATGCAGAGAGTTACGAGGTCACGTTTTCATGTGAAGAAGAGATCGTCTGCTATTACATATGGGAGATCAGCACAGGTGAATTCATCGCTACAGTAAGTAATGGAAAGATGAACAGAGCTGGATCAGAAGGAGAAAAATGCTTGGAAATTGTGGAGGTCACAGAGAAGGATGTCGGACGACAGTACTGCCGGAAAAGGTCAAATGGCTTCTCTTTTAAGGCTGGTAAGTACTATTGACATTTAAGATACACATAGTATTCGTAGGGAAAACTCACACAATTATTTTTTCTTTATCCCATTTAGTTTCCCAAGTAATTACAGTCGCACCTACAAAAACTGTAACACTGCAGTGTGTTTTCTTGACTCCTCTGGAGAAGGATCTTTGCAATGCTGACCAAAATAAGGGGGTCCACCTGACATGGGTGGATGAGACTGGAAATGTGGTTCATAAAGACCCTCAGCATGACGTTAATAACTACTCTGACAGGGATATCACTTTGACTGTCACGTACCAAAGTACTGGCCAGATGAGGTTCAGGTGTCAGGCAACTGTGGGTGAACAGGTCAAAATGTCAGATGTGCTGCTGGTCCTAGCATCAGGTGAGTCAATGACATGTCTTTACTTGTGAATTCTGTCAGTAAAAGAAAAAAAAAATCAACAAAATAATTTACATATTTCCTTCATTTGTAGCTCCTAAAAAGAACGGAAGAGGAGTCATAATAGAAAAGGAGCCAGAAAGTCAAGGTAGTTTGAGAACCTTCTCCTTTATCTCCATCAATTTTTGACCATAATAAACATATAGCCAACCTTAAATGACCAGTATTTACAATTTGACTTTATTTCTCTATTTTAACAGTTCCCCTTCCCTTTTTTAGCAAAACATGAATTTAAATAATTATTCACTTTTGTGTTTCATCAGATGTTCTTTGTCATTACAGACAACAACCAGGATATGATCGGAGCAGCTGTGGGGGTTGTGGGATGTGCAGTTTTGACAGCAGTCATTGCAGCATTTGTTATAAACAAAAGAAGAACAAGTACGTTTTTTTCTAAACTTCCTATTGGTAAAGGATGTACCTGGTGAAATCTATATGGTCCAACAGTGACGGTACAAACATGTGCACACATCCTACATGTTACACAACAGTTTTCCCATCCACTCTGAGCAACCTTACTTCATGTGAGATGTGCCAATGCAGAGAATGTTCTGTTTTTGCTGTTCCTGTTTTGCAAATAAGGACTCACGTAGGATCAGTGTAGGGACACTGTGACCTGTGTTTACAATATACTTCGTTTTAACAACCTGCACGTACCATGTACCAGTATTGGCATACTGTATGTACAAAGAATTATATTTGTATTTGGCCAGTCGTTTGTATATCAAACAACACCATGTAGATGAACGAAAGAACGGTGAAACGTTAACAAATGCACTTGATAAATAGAAGTTGCATATCTATTTGCGTGTGGTAGTACTGGCCCCTAGTGGTGACTACAGAATATTACAAGACAGATGAAGCGCCTCGAGTTCGATTTTCAGTCTATTGTTTTGTGTCGTTTTCTGTACCACACATGTGGAAAGTGACCAATATTGGCTGTTTTTAAAGTTCATTTTCCACAGTATATTAACCACAAACATATCTGAGCTGTTATAGGAACAGAGCTTAATGGAAAATTAAGGCAGCTTTTCCCAACACTGCAGATAAAAAAACCCCATTAATTTCTGAGAAATAAAGTAACCAATCATTGTACATCATGATATCATTTAAACAGTGGGTGTACAGTATGTAATTGTACATTTATAATTCAATTTCAGATGGCCAGCTGCACAACGAGCCCAGCATGTCTACTTCATGCAATGTAAGTCGACCCCGCGCAGTATTTGACTTCATGCTGATTAGCACATAGAGTATCACCTTCTCTGTGTTAAACGTGTATGTGTGTCTATAGGTCCTACATACAGATGATGTCATCTATGCCGACATTGTTCATCCTGAGGGCTCTGACAGAGTGTGGGTCACTGGGACTGAGACCACAGAATACGCCTGTGTACAGTTCTATTGATGTGCTCTCTGACATATGTGTTTTTTTTTCTTCATACTGTGAAATACTCATATTAAGCTATACCTCACTTATGTACTTTATTTCCATTCTAACAATGGACACAATCAGGCTTTAAATGCTATTATTTTTTCACATATGGTATACCAAAAAATAAATAAATTGTGCTTGATCTTAAAGTACAATGTTTGACACAAAAATAAAACAAAATAAAATGACTTTTTTTCCTAAAAGCTCAGGATTCTTACTGTGTCAGTGTCTAAAGTTGATTTTCCAGGCCTTTAAAAAAATGACTTGAGGAACTTTAGGCACTCTACCCCCACTGGTGCAAACACACACATGAGCACATACACACATGGAGTACAGTGACAGTCACCACAGCAGGTGAGAGACTACCGGAGCCGGGCCGGTGTTGCTCTATTTGCATTTTAAATACAGGCAGCCAGCCTACTACTGTGTTCACAGTGCAGTGCAGCACAGCTAATCTACACACCTAAGGTGTGTGATTGGCTAAAGCCAACAATCCAATGGGGGGTGTGCATGAGTGTATGCATGTGTGTGTAAGGGGCACGAGGGGGTGGGGTAACTAGATAAAGTAGAGAAGCCTTTAGAAGTCCCAAAGACTAGGTCAATGTTCTTACACGGTAACTCTATGTATAGTAGACATAGCATACTTGTATAAAAATAGAGTGTGTTTTAAATATACTGCATTTGTGTTGATGTCATTTATTTCACTGTTCTGTTAATAAACTCCTGGAGCCTGGTTACTATCTTTTACAATCTTAAAAAAAAAAAAAAAAACTTTCTTCATGTAAAAAAGTCTTGGGTTTAGAGTTTAAGGTACAAGAAGACACATCAACCATCACATGCTTACAAACACATTGTCTGTGGAGCTGATAAGGTGTAGGTCAAAGCCTTGAACCCCAGTGAACTCAGGCACCACTTTGTCTGCCAAGTTCTCAGAGTGGACGGGGCAGCGGGGGCCAAATGCTGTTGTCCCCTGGTGTGCAAATGTCTCTCTCTCTCTCTCTCTGTGTGTGTGTGTGTGTGTGTGTGTGTGTAGGTAGGGGTAACAAGTCGTAGGATTGGGATCCACAGTGTTGGTCATGGGGGTTGGGGGACACAGTGGATGGGATTGCTGTGCATGTGTGGAACAAAAGGCTTTGATTACTGAAATCCTGCAAAAGGCAGGGGACGAGGTGTGAAAGTGATACAGAGTGAAGAGACACAGAGCTGGAGCTCAGGGGTCTTTGCATTTCTCTCATACAGAGCAAGTCCACACCCTGTCTGCACATCTGCACCCTAATCCACATGCACACAGTGTTCAAGTGTAAGAGCAAGTTCACCAGAGAAAACTCAAATCTTCAGGACAAAGTTTACTCGTGCAATTGATTTATTCCAGTTTGACAAACAGATACATTTTTAAATCTGTGATAACAACAATGTGGACCACAGTTTGACAAACAGATACATTTTTAAATATGTGATAACAACAATGTGGGGTGCGTTCAATGACCACTTTATATTTGACACCAACATCTCAACACTGCGTCCGAAAACACAGTGTTCCCATATGAAAAGGACTTTGATGAAACTGTTAATGGGAGTTAAAATCACTGATACCTGCAGAGTTAAAGTACTGCGTGTTTTTTTTTTTCGTTGTGGGCCCAGGAAGAAAAACACAACGCGAGGTGTTAATACTTCACATTGAAATTGACCCTGGCTGCAGTCTACCTGATGATGAGGGGGGAGGAGAGACAGGAGGAGGGATGAGAGGGAGTGCAAGGAGGTGTTTTCGCGTTGCAGAAACAAAGAAGCGAATCGACGATTGACAATTTCCTGATGGGAGGTGCGGCTTATCACTCCCAGAATCAGAGCTGCTCACCGGAGGACAGGAGGACACGCAGGAGCTGCGGACACACAATGGACTAAAACTCCCGGAGTGAGAGCAACAATAATCCAGTGAAACTCTGCGGTGCAAGGAGGTGAAGTCATCTGAGACACATTTCAGTCTCCCAGGTAAGAGAAGTCTCATTCACGCTGATATTGATTAGATAATTTACGGCTCATGTGCGCCTGATATCAGTGTCTGTCTAAAACACTGATATAAATAGGGTTTAAAACCAAAGAAACAGGAAAAGTAACAAAACGTTGACGCAATGAAACAACTGAGAGAAAATGTTTGGTTAATTACAATTTGTTAACTTTTTTAAATTAAATTAAAATTTAAGCATCTTTGTTTGTCGAAATACTGACTTTTTGCGGGTGAAGATAAATGATAGTGGAAATGAAATGAGTCACTAAATAATTTTAGAGATCCATACAAAGGTAAAAGAAACAAACATTTCTGCAGTTTTGTAGGAAACACCTACAGAGTATTACATTTTCGGGGCCAATTCTGGTGCAGCCATGTTTCTTTGCCTTATCTTAAATTCTTCAAAGTTTCAGGTTCAGTTGTCTTTTTTTAAAACCTGAAGTGCAGCATGATTCAAGTTTGGGTTAAATCTTTTATGTTTGCTGTGGTTTCATCGTGTATGAAAAGTTGCATGTCTTAAAGCTCAACAAAAAATGTGAATATTTTTCTACGATGTTCTGGACACATGAGAGACATTTTTGACATGTTTTGACTCAAGTGGACATGTTTGAAATGGCGTCATCAGATGTTTTTGACAGCAGAGTAAAAAAAAGAGAATGTTAAATCTCACATTTAATATTGTAGATCATATTCTTAACAGATCTGAAGTCATTCTCTTATCTTGACCGTCCTTTGCTTCTCTCTCTTCAGCTTTCCTCAGCTCTCCAGATATGATTCAGAGAAACGAGGTTGTGCTGTCTGTGTTGAGGGAACTCCAGGAGGCCACGGAGATCTCCGGCCTAGATGTTCTCACTAAAGTGGCACTGGAAGTGGACCGGGTCCTTACACCATTCCAGCTCCCCAGGACGCCCTGCTATGATTTTCCAGAGTGGGCTGGGGTGGACGACGTCGCCCGTGGTTTGTACCCGGCTGATGCCCCCGTGGGTCTCCTCCCTCTGAAATGCAATGGTGAGGGCAACGTTCTGTTTGATGCAGTCAGCATGCTGTTAGTGGGCAGCACGGCTCTCAGCCTGGAGCTACAGGTAAGAAGTTGTAGTTTCTACAATAAAAATGTGTTTTGTCTAAATGCTGATGTATGGTTTGTCATACGTTGTTATTGTCCTCCCACAGGTGCGGACTGTGGTGGAGATGGTGTTGTGGAAACGCTACTACTTGTCTGGGATGATTGATTCTAAAATGATGCTTCAGGCAGTTCGTTTTAGTCTCTGTGCAGAGGAGTCTGAGGACATGCTGAACCTGCCGGCTGCTGTTCTGGAGGCCATCTTTGATGCTGACGTAAAGGCTTCCAGCTTCCCTGGCTCCTACGCCAACATGTGGCACCTTTATGCTCTGTCGTCAGTCCTTCAGTTAAACATCTACTCCGTTTACCCCATGTTCAACCTCAAGATACGACCTTATTTCAACCGAGTCATTCGCCCACGAGCCGTATCTAAAGACTGTGAGCCTCTAACGCTCCACATCATGTGGTCCAGTGAGTTGCAGCCCGAGGGCTTGTTCCGTCCAAATAATTTTGTTGCACTTGCTCAGACCCAAGACTTCACATTCGGAAGTGCAGACGGTGAGAAGGGTCCATCTCCCATCAAGACCGAGGAGCAGCTGGATCCGGACTTGCATCTCTCCTATCCTAGTCTGAAAGACAAATACAACATAACAAAGAGGACATTTTACCGCTGGAAGAGGCAGACGCAAGAGCACAGCAAAAAGTCTGCAGCTAGGTACGAGGCCAAGTATTTCCTGCAGGCTTGCTACCTGGAGGGAAAGCTCATCCCTCTGCATCAGTTTAAAGAGTTTTTCCCTGAGATCTCAAGGTCGTCTTACTACAACTGGAAGCATGAGTTGATAAAGTCAGGAGGCAACTTCTCCACCTCCTCATCTGCTGGAGAAATAAGCCCCGGAGAAAGCACAGAGCAGGAAGCCTGGTCATCACCTGAGGCGAAGCAGGACGAAGCAGACCACGAGAGCGTGGCAAGTATGTTCGGCCTGAGCCTCGACAAGCTGGATCCGGAGCGTCCCCAGAGTGTGTCGCATATGCAGGAAGCCAAGCGCTGCCTGCAGAACTGCATTGCCATGAACGCCTCCCTGCCATTCCGAGTCTTTAAACGCAATTTCCCAGGAATCTCCAGGTCAACCTACTACAACTGGAGGAGAGAGGCTATGCATTTCAACAGAGGTTACAAAGGAAGTGTCGGCAGCAGCGAGGACAGCTCTGATGCTGACAAAACCCAGAGTCCGAAAAGTCTGTCACCAGTTCCACCAAACAGCATCCACCCTGCTTTGCCCAGGGCAAGGGTCCACAGGCACAAACACAGAAGCTTCAGCCAGGCATACATGAGCAAAAAACAACTCCGAGATGCTGCCAAGCTTCTCGTTCGGAGATCAAGGATGTCTCTGACGAAGTTCAAGATCAAGTTCCCATCCATATCGGCCTGTTTCTATTGGCTGTGGGGCAGCAGGCAAAACAGCAAGAAGATGATGACGATCACCGAGCCTGTAGCCGCCCTCCCTCGGAGCCTGGAGACCGAAAACAAAATCACAGAGCGTGAGTCTGTACTCCAGTTCGTTGATAGGCCTGCTTATCTAGAAACCGCCGTACCTCTGTTTAATGACACGCAGTCGCCGCACACACTTCACAGCAGAACGCAGATTGATGAGCAGATGTTTACGATGGATGTTGTGGCACTGGCCAACTTCAAGGCCAAGGCCAAGCTGTTCCTGCAGCGACGATTTGAAGAAAATTCCTTCCCTACGTTCAAAGAGTTTAGGTCTTATTTCCCTTTCACTCCACGCTCCACCTACTACATGTGGAAGCGAGCGTTGCACCACGGTGTCTCACTGGTTCATGGATAAACTCCAAGGAGTTAGATTGAGTAAAAGTTGGAGAACTTTTCGGTTGTACTACCTACAGTGTTAACTCTGACTCCTCACTGCTTCAGCCCTCCTGCCCCACCACCACCACCACTGCGGCTCGCTGCTCCCTCATGGACATTTGCACGTGTGTGAAAAGTTCATGGGCCTGTTTAAACCCTGCATGTTGCCCTCCAGGCAAAAGGCAGTTCAAAGCTGTTGTTTGGTGGCATTTTGTTTGATGATGTTTCTTCTCCTGGGTCTTTTAGTCCCTGCCAAGATTTGTACTTGGGGCTGTTAGAGATATTTTCCTTTTTAGTTTTCATTGTTTGGCTGTTAATATGTTTTGGTATGCTTTTTATTTGGTGCATTGATTAATAGGAATTGTTTGCAGATGAAAAAAGTCTTTGAATGTGAAGAGTAGCTGGTTGGTAATTTTTGTTAAGACATTCCATTTTAAACCTTTTCCATATGAAGTTTTTTTTTTTTTTTTTTTTTTTAATGAATACCTCAGGGATCCACATGGTGCATTAAAGGTTTCGGTGACCGGATCAAGGGTTTGGCATTATAAATGTCTCCTCCTTTTGTCTGTTTGCACTAAAATTATTTTCATTTAACCACTGAATGTATGTTCTCTATGCACACTCTGGTAAAAGTCTTTCAAGTATTTTGAGAAGTACCATAAAGAGGGAAGATATATATTTTCTTATTTTTGATTTATTAGTTCTAAGATCTACCTAGCTCCCAGAAATTCTGGGGCCAGTTTGCATTTATAAGCTATTTTGTCCAGTTTTCATAAATGAATTTTCAAGTCTGCTGCAAAACAATGGATTTAAATTCTAGTTTGTACAATATGTATTTATTTTTTCTTACTACTTTTTGCAGCAGCCTGCTTTGTTCAGTGAGGAGTTGAGAAACCTTTGTACTGGCTGTGCATCAATAAACTATCGATCATCATCAACCTCTTGCTTCTTGTTGTGCTTAATTAATCTTCATACGCCTTGTTGCCTTTTGAGGCTGTAAATTTATCTCTTATCTATCTGCGAGTTCTGTTTTCTCTTCACTGCGTTAGCTCATTACAGCAACCCTCACTGACTCCTCTAATAATAAATGATTGTTTTATTCTGTGTACATTTTCAAATCAATGGTTTTCTCTTCCACATCACTTGGTTCTCTTGACATTCGTAGCTCTCTAATCTTGCGCTGCATCAGCTGTATATTAATTTTTTATCCAGAGCAAAGGATAAATTGGCTGCCGTCACACATCAGATTGTTCAGCTCAGTGGCAAAATTTTGCATCGCCTAACGACCCCAGAGACGTGTCAGGCTTGGCTGAATTGAATCATGTTGATAAATGATGTGCAGATGATAAAGAAACTGCATAAAAGGAAGAAAATGACATGGGGAGAAACAGAGTTGTTGCTGCTTGGGCCTAAAGGCTGGCTATGATCTTTAGCAGCATTCAAGTGTTTTTGCCCACTTTGCTTTGTTTGGGCATTGTGCTCATGCTAATGATTGGACTGGTCAGGAGTGGGGGCTTAGATAGTCATAGGGGGAAGGGGTTAATTGTATGCATGGAGACAGAGGTGTTTGTGATTAGGGGGAAAACATCCTGGAGTTTCGGGGGGAGGGTCACAGGTACATAGACAAACTGTATGGAAGTGTGGTAGAATGTTTTGTTACAAAATACAACAACAACAAATGTTTACAAATGGATGTGTAGAAAATCAACTATATTTTACTAATGTTTGCAGGTTTTCATAAATGTAAGACACATTATTTTTTTGGCATTTATTATTGTTTGTCTATGATGGCCGGGGAATCTCAGTGGCTCAGAGCTACTCTTTGTTTATCTCAAAGTAGCATGAAAATAATTAGGTTTGGCAGGTGGGAAGTGGAATCTTTAAGGATTAGCATACAGCAGTTGCTGCAGACAGAGAAGCGTTTCAATGATACCAGGTTTTCACAGTAAACAGTTCAGACCTGCGGGACTTTCTGTGCTCACAATCTTCTGCCAATTACACTCTGATACTCAGCTCAACGGTGAAACCGACCTCGGTAAGCGGTCAGCTGAAAAGGCAAAACCACCAGTGAATGAGTAAGGAACAAATTGTTGCACACCAGTATAAAACGTCCACTGGATGGCAGCAGTTTGCTTCACAACACAGCTCATGAAGTTTTTTTTTGCTTTCTGCATGAAACCGAACACACAGGTAAATGGAGTCCGTAATGCAACTTTCCACACAAAGCAGAGTCACCAACGGATTGTCATAATTGATTAAATTACTGAAACAACGACATGGGCGGCGTAAAAGAAGAGAGGAAGTATCATAATCAAAATGTGAGTTTATTTACCAGGACATTTTAATTCTCTACATGTTTCACATCCATTTATCTTTTATGATTATTCATTCATTATATTATATGATTATTATACTATTCTGTGGAAAATAGACTCCCTGATTACCTGATGTGCTCCACCTGTGTCCTATTCTCTGTCTGTTTGGTTCTTGGTTGTTGCTCGCTTGTTTGGATTCTTTGTTATTTTTATTAGTTTCTGCCTTTGTGTCCATTAGGGTTCATTTCTCCACAAGCACTCATCAAGGGACTCAACCGTGTTTGATTAAAAATGAGGCCATTGCAAAGTGTTTTTTCACCAGTTGAACATGTTGTTGACAGTTGTTTTCCCCCATACGTAATGTATAATTTTAATGCTTAATTATGCCAAGTGTTGTGCCTCAGCGGAGGCTAAGTCACTGAAGGTGCAGTTAGAAGGATTTTGCAAATGCAAAACAGAGAAGAAATGCATTAGTTAATTCAATAAGAAGGGATTATTTACTTTCTGCTGCCTCATATGGCACAGATCAATTTCCTCAAACATTTATTCTCAGCTGATTTATCGTCCATTTGCTGTTGTGGCTGATGTTGCTGCTACACCCGACAACTCATATTCCATCTATCAGTAAGCAAAATGTGGACACACACACACACACACGTTTACCTATGCACTACGTTGACAGTCAGAGTAGGTGCTGATCAGAGACACTGACAAGTAAATCAGTGAGAGACCACCTTTTAGTTGTTTTCGTCTTTATTTCACTCACTCTTTCTTTGTATTTATGATCAGTCTGTACAGCAGACATTGTGATTGTGCCCTCTTTCCAGAGCACTCATCTTTACAACAGAGCTTGATCAGTCACCTCAGCCCTTCATTATGAGCCTCCTTGATGGCAGTGTTGGACTGTGACCTGTGTTGGTGTCAGCACAGCTATTGTTTTCATTGATGACTCATGTCCAGGGTTGTGATTAAAAGCACGGTGACCGTGAACCATGAACTAATTTCAACGTGAGCCATTGTGGCAGAGAGAAAAGATAAGTGCTAATTGCTATATTTGGTTTCAGCATGAGAAGAGAGAGAGAGAACCACAGCCAGTGTGTAAGGGTGGTGTGCGGACAGGAAATTAGGGTTTGGGTAACAACTAGCTGTCTGTAGTATTAACGCTTTGCAAACACAAAACAGGAGATTTTGACTTTGCAGTAGCACAATGATAATTATCTGATGTTTTACTTCATTCTTTTAAAAACAAAATTTGGTTTTTCGCTGCGCTGAAAGACTGGTTGTTGAAGTATCTCCAAAAATACACATTGTTTTTATGTGTACTCTCAGACAATGACATGTCAGCTGAGCGTGAATTCCTTATGGTGTCACTGCTTTTGTCCTCCACTTTATAGACTAGTGAGGAGCAGATAGTGTGACTGCAGTTTACTGCTGTCATTTCTTCATCTTTTGCCTTTTTCTTTCTTTTTTTGAGGTTACGGCGAGTCATTGATATCTGACAAACGTCCTGTGGCAAAGCTAATCTGACCAGCAGCAGAGATGACCATTTAATTATGCATTGATTTCTCTTTGAAGCCAATGGCGTTTATTTAAAAGCATCCATCACACTCAAAAACACTGCCATTGTGAATAATTGAGTGAATGTGTAATCTAACACAGACAGAGTGGTCCTGCTAAATGCAAACTCAGCTCATCGTTTCCATCAATGCCCTACTCATATTGGTTACGACCCCAGACGTCCAGTACGTCTTAACCAGATTATCATTCTGGTTCTTGTTTGAAAGACTCAGACTCCACTTGATAGTTCACTTGCAAGCAGTTTGGTTTATGTCAACAGCAGAGGCGTCATGACTTATTTCTGCCTTGTACCCAATCGTATTGTGATAATGTATAAAAGTGAATAGAAATGCATGCTCTAAGTGTGCTTGAAAGTTAAGGTTAATGGAAATAGAATGTAAATGTGGCCGTAGATTAATGCATAAGATTTCCCCTAGCATCTTGTGAAGCTCTTGGGTTGCGTTATTGCAGTGTGTGAGCTGGATTGTCATAATTAAAAAAAATAATAATGCACTAAGAAGAATTAAAATTTCTGCTCTGGGAAACACACTTCACCTGCAGCAGTATAATCTTCTATAAGATTCCCCCTGTGAGCGCTTCGTTTCTGAACTTACAGTATGGACGTGAGGCTGCATGTGTTTGCATGCAAGGAATATTGTAGGTTTTTATAGCGGTTTTGCAAATAACCCCAAGCAACTGTAAACCCTTATAATAAAAGATCCCAAAATTACAGCTTATTAAAACATACTAACTTTAAATAATTGCAACAACACCATGAAGAGGTAGCCTGCAGTTCAGCCTTAAACATTCTTATTCAGTTATGTATATATATATATATATATATTATATATATATATATATAAAAGCAGGTGCCAAGCATTCTCTGGGAACTGAACTCACTGAACCTCTGCTCTGTTACAAAAGTGCTACACTATGGAACCCACTGTCTATAGAAAACTTTCTTTTCTTTTCAATAAACCATCATGTAAATACTGAGGTATGCGCTGAACATATCAATGCTCTGGGAGGAAAAAAAAAAAGCTGGCGATAGGAAAGGAAACAGGAAATGTTGACGGGCATGTATCTAAAAGCCCAGCTTTAGGACCTGGGAGCAGTTGTGCTACAGCAGCACTTCAGACCTCAGTGAACACAAAATGCTAAGAAAAAGTGACTGGTAAATGTATGTGAAAAATAATGTGCCGAGGGACAGACACTGAACCTTATAGGACATGAGAGTAAATCGGACACTCACCTGATTCAATGCGGCACCTCTTCTTAGTGTCCGTCTGAATGTCTGTGAGTATTAGCTTTATATCAATGCTTATTTACATCTCCTGCCGGCCGGCCAGCAGACTGTTAAATTGGAGATAATAAAAACAAGCAGAGAGAAAATTCCAATGAAAATGTAAGAAAAATCAACTGTAACTTATAAAACAGGCCACCTGTATGTGTGTGTGTGTGTGTGTGTATGTGTGTACCAGTGCAAAGGCTAGTCTTTCTCACCATGCTGAATTATAGCTGTGTCACTTCCAATCTGCTCTGTAATATTTCACACAAAGAGTCCCAAGTCCCTCCATCCGAGGCCATTTGTTCATCTGCCTGTTTTGCAAGTAAGGCACATAGATTGTATTTCTCCTTAAAATCGTCAAAGTATAAAAGAACAGGCTGCGACGTGTTTAAAAGTGCAGAGGCAGAAGGTACATATGGGCCTAATTTTTCCTCTGGGATGTTCTTTTAATGCTTTTGATGTATTAAAATGTGCTTTGGGAAGAAGAACTGCTGGAGGCACTTGGGCTGACAACTGAAAAATATTAAGAGATTAAAGCCAAGATTCCTGTGTGGTGGGACACCAGTGGGGCACACGGTCTGTGTGTCTATCACAGAGATCAAGGTAATGTAAATTTGTCATGCTATTTTAATGGCTACATGGTGAGAAAAGAGCTGATCCATTTGTAGGGGCCGTGCAGAGTTTGCTGCATCAGCAGCGGAGCAAAGTTCCATTGATTTCTTGTTCGGTTCGCCACGCGCTGGGATCAGAACTGACTAAAACTCATTTCTGACCAACATGACTGTTTGTGTGGCTCAGGAAGAAGCTGATGTTTGAACTTTCTGTTGTTGTTTTTTATGTATCGCTCAGCTGAAGGTTTACAGTATATCTCTCCCATTTGCAGTTCTATGAAATTCCTCTTAGACATCCATA